TACTTACAGTGCAACACCAGAAAAAATACACCAGAAATTCTACTCCTTCCCTGTCCTGTATTTTTTCTGGTGTTGCGCTGTAAGTTCACGATAGATCCTAACCAACTGGCCCAACTTACCGTCTTACTACAATGTATTGATTGAAGATGAATCCTAACTGATTTCCTCTATATTTTTTCCAATGGTGAAATGTTTCTTTTTGTGTATTGATCCCAAACAGCGGCACAATATTCCAGGAGTGGCTGAATAAATGTTTTATAGGCTAATATTTTAACTTCTAGAGAGGACTTACTCAAGCGCCTCCTTAAGTATCCGAGTTTTTTCATTGCCTTTTTATGTATGTAGTCAATGTGGTCATTTCATTTAAGATCATGAGAAATGATAACTCCCAGATACTTATAGTTAGTTACTACTTCCAGAGGTTATCAAAACAGTAAGAAAACGTTATAGGGTGCTTTTTGTGACTAATTGTCATTGTGATAGTTTTCTTTTTGTTGATGGTCGTTTGCCAGTCTGTGCACCATGTTTGAATTCGGTCCAAAGATATATTCAATGTTATCTGGTCGTGGGGTGTGGTAATTTCACGGTATATAATACAATCATCAGCATAGAGCCTTATTTTAACGGGTATGTTTCAAACGATGTCATTGATGTATACAAGAAAAAATAAAGGACCAAGAACAGAGCCTTGCGGGATACCCGAAAGGACTGGAATGGCACACGAAGTTTCATTATCAATGGCCACGACTTGTCGTCTACATAAGAGGTAGGCTTCTATCCAAGCTAGTAATATGGTGTTCTTGAGTATTGGTTCCAAATTAATAATAATATTCGATGTGAGACTTGGTTGAATGCCTTTTCAATGTCGAAAAATATAATGTCGACCTGGTTATGTGTGGCTAGGGCTGCTGCTAAGTCGTGGACAGTTTCGATGATCTGGGTGACTGTAGAGTAACCACGGCGAAAGCCATACTGGAAGGAACCAATTAAGCCTTTGTTTTCAAGGAAGCTGGATACATGTTTAAAAATTATGTGCTCTAGTACCTTTGCACATGTGCATAATAAGGAAATTGGTCTATATGATGACGGAGTTGATGACACGTTTGTTTTAGTGATCGGCGTGATTTTCGCGTACTTGCAGTCGCATGGAAGATCCGCATTAGACAGGGATTTCTTGAATAACAGACAGAGATATTTAAAACACCATTCAGCATATCGCTTTAAAAATGCATTTGGTATACCGTCTATGCCTGGCGATTTTTTGTCGTCTAATTTTAACAGTAGTGCTAGTATGCCTTCTTCAGATATAGACACATTACGCATAGGTTCGCTATAATCAAATTTGCTAAATTCCGGTGCGCGGCCATCGTCAACGACAAATACAGAACCGAAATAAGCATTAAGAGCTTCGGCAATTGCTGCGTTATCTGTCAGAGGGACACCATCGATTGATAGAGTACGAGGATCTTTCTTCTTTGGAGAAATGCGTTGCCAAAATTTTTCTGGCGAAGTTTTAAGAAAGTTTTCATGACGAACGTGTTCGTAAAAATCTTTGGCCTTTTTAATACTGTTCTTCAGTTGTTCGCGTAACTCCTATATCTTATCTAAACCACTTGAGCATGGATACCGCCTGTACTGCCTTTTCGCTTTGTTTAACTTACGTTGGTGACGTGCAATCTCTTTTGTCATCCACGGATTGTGTGTACGCTGCAAGTGTCGTTTGTGTGGGATAAACTTTCTCACAAAAGTCAAAACCGGGTTTTTAAAAAAGCACCACATATGTTCAGTATAGGCATCGGATTCGTAAAATGAGTTAAGCAAAGAAAAAGAACTATCTAAAACATTCAAAATATCAACATCACCAGCACGAGAAAACACCGGAACAATACACTCTTTCTTCGCCAGCCGAGATCGGAATTTCACTTCGAGATTTAAGCACACAAGCTTGTGGTCTGAGATACATATGTCAACTCTCGGGGCACATTCAAGAACACTGTCGCTAATAATGAAGAGATCCAAAATTGATTGACTTTCCCCTTGTGTTCTTGTAGGCACCTTTACTACTCTACTTGTGTTCGGCCATGTAATGAAATAATGTCTACGAGTGGTTCAGCAGAGGCACAGAGTGTTTCAGGAAAATCACCATCCTAGTTAATTAGTCAAGTGTTGAAATCTTCGGTTAGCACAAGGTTAGAAGTGTGGTTCCTGCACATGAACTCATTTAGTGCCTCAAAAAAAGTACTGTCACTGTTCGGGGGGCGGTAAAATCCGCCAATTACCAAATTTAATTCCTCGTTCAGCAATATGCATTCAATGCTGGTAATATCTGGCAGTCGTGTAACACGCAATGAGTCGATGTACAAAATAGCAACGCCGCTACTGCGGGAATCACGGTCCTTGCGGTAGATACGGTATTTATGCGGTGCGACTTCAGAGTCACTTATGTCACCGTGCAGCCACGTTTCTGTAATAACTATTACATCGGGGCTGTGAGCAGCAACTATGCTTTCTAGGTCATCTGTTTTCTTTATTATACTTCGGGCATTTAAGTTAAGACATCGGAAAGTATTTTTGAAGCCTTTATTTTATTCGGCGACTCTCGCCCCTGAGCGGAGCTGACGGCCAATCGTCCGCCTCTTTTCGCGATTTTGATTACTTGGTACTCGTGCCTTTTTCGTTTCGTCCCACTCGTACAATTCACTGCCGATTTTTATTTTATCATAAACTGGTTTTACCCTTAACTCATCTCGCCTGTCATCAGCCACGCTATTCCATAGGCACTTTCAAACCTCTCTAGTGGCAGCCGAGAAATACTTTGAGATTGATATGGTCTTTCCCTTTAATTTGTAACTGTTGCTGAGAACAGAAACTTTCTCGCGATGGTCAAACAACTTTAAAAATCACAGGGCGTGAGTGGTTCATACGTGGACGGCCAATTCTATGAATTCTTTCTACAGAGGATACCTTCACTCCTAATGTATCTCGAAATATATCCTCAGTCACTTTCTGCGCTAGTGGCTCTTGAGTTTCTCTAGACGGCTCCGGAACACCGAAAACAAGAAGATTGTTCCGCCTGCACCTGTCCTCAAGCTTCGTCAACTTTTTATCTAACCGTGTCTCTGTGTGTTCCAAATTCACAAGTTTAGCTCCGAGTTATTTAACGATTGCCACTCAGTCTTCGACATGCTTAAGCTTGTTTTCCAACCTCTCTAGTTATTTATGCATTGTCTTTTAACCTTCAAGAAGTTCGCACAGCATCTTTTCCGTTTCAGGCCCTGGATTGGGCTCGATATTGCCACAAAGCATCAGACAAGAGTACATGACATCTTTCACGTAGTGAAACAAAGCACATAAACGACGTGGGCACATCAGCTGGACTAGGCACCGGTCACTAGACTTGACTGATGAGTACTTATTGCTCACCTGCATGAAATAGAAGAACGGGTTTGTCATCCTGGTCACAGGCGGCCAGCCGACGTGCCCACTAAAGAGATGCTCGGGCGATATTCTTCTATGAATTACGGGTGATGTTCTTTTAAGTATTCACAATCCTTTTTCACGCCACTTGCTCGTTAACTCAGGAGTCCCACAAGACGCATACTAGACCCACTTTTATTTCTCATTTACATCAATGACATCGTGCAGGTCATTAATGAACCACCTCAGATTAGGCTTTTTGCAGATGATGGCTTGCTTTTTAATGAAATTAAATGTTTAGATGATGAAACCTTGCTTAAGGCTAACCTGCAAAACATACCTATGTGGTGTCAAGAGTGGGAAATGCAACTTAACGCTGACAAAACGGTTTTCGTGAATATAAGTATATGAGTAGAAAGAACAGCTTTTTTTTCTTTTCCTTATAGTCTCCCTTCAGAACAGGTTACAAAGGCCCCTCCATACATATGCCTCGGCGTCACAATAACTAGTACATTCAGTTGGAACACCCATATTTCGAACATATGTTCATCCCCCAAAAAGCTATGCTTTTTGTGACATAAGTTAAAGCACACAACGTTCAATGTCAAACTTCTCGCATATTCGTCGATTTTAAGACCCAAGCTGGAATACGCATCTATTGTCTTGGACCATCATACGAAAAATAATGTCGAAGCATTGGAGACTATCCAATGAAAATCAGTTAGATTTACTTATTCCGAATACCACCAAACAGACTCTTGTACTCAACTAATGAATCTTTATGATATAAAACTATTGAAATTACGAAGAAAAATTTACATATTGAAAATTCTGCTCCATTTGAAGAATCGTCAATTGCTACTTTTCCCTGAACTTTATGTGACACCTTTTGCGTCACGAACTACGAGGCATCGACATAATAAATCACTAACCCCATACAGCATCAAAGCAAACCTATTCAAGTTCTCATTTTTCCACATACAGTTAACGAATGGAACTCTCTGCCGATATCATCAGTGCTCAGTGTAAAAGCAATCGAAAGTCTTTGGGATTGATGTTAGATTATGTGAATAATGTTCCCTTGTTGTGTGATTATTGCTTTAATAATGTTGTTTGTACTATATTACTTTACTAATGTTTCTTTGTTGTGTGATTATTGCATAATGCTTCCTCACACTTTTTGAGATGTTCTTAAGATGTTTTTGAGATGTTCAAGATGTTATTACTTTTGAGCTATGCTGTACAAATTAGACACTTTTTTATTTATTTATTTTTCCTTTCAATGCATAAATGTCTAGCCTTTATGAGTATACTTCTGCCCCTCCTGTTAGGGCTCAAAATGGGCCTGCTGTAACTGTAATATAAATAAATATAGAAAACATTATTCCCAAGGGCATACACACAAGATGCCATCTATTGAGCAGCTCATAAAGTAGAGGTGGCTACATACTACTGTTACTACAGAGAAAGGAACGACCCACGGCCTAAGGAGCTTCGCCCCCCTAAAAGAAAGAACACTCTTTGTGACAAAATTCGAGAGGTTGCACATGTTATGCACAGATGTATGTGGGTGATTTCTGCAGAGAGTGAAGAGTGGCAGCCCCGCCGAGGCTTCTCACGTGCTCGAGGGTGACGTCATCGTGGCGGTGAATGGGCATGATATCGGCCAAATTCCCATCACCGAGGTGCGGCGGCGTATGCGGGAATGCGGCGACCAGCTTGTGGTGACTGTGCTGTCGTCTAGTGCGTTCCGGCTGCTCGAGTCGCGGCGCGACTGGGACCAGATTCTTCGTGCTGCCGGCCAGGACACGCTGCAGCTGCGGCCCATCAAAACCACCTGTGGGGGAAGCGGCAATTTCGGCTTCACGGTATTCGAGGCCAAGGCGTGGAATGAGCAGAGAAAGGCGTTCGTCCACTGCCACGTCATCCAGAAGGTCAGTTTCAATGGCCCTGCAATAGATATACGTCAATCAGTTACAGAAAAGCTGCATATGGTGCAGTTTGTCAAGGGAGGTTTATGTCATGAACGTCGCTCACTACCGCATGGTTGATCATACATGTGTTGTCACCTTTGATTTATGTCCAGGAATGCAGCCATACGCATATGCAAGGTTCTCCTTGAACGGGGGGGGGGGGGGGGGAGGGGGTCATCACAGCGCACCTCTTCCCTCTATGCCATTGTGTGAGGCAGAGAGACTACTCCCCCCTCATTACGAGTGAATAGGAGGCGCCCCCTACCCCTGCCTTTCTTGTGCGCACACCTATGGGTGCAATGATGGCGAAAAGGTAGAGCATTAATTAGCCTTGCATGCAAAAGGTACGTCCGTGGTTCGAATTCTAGAACTCCACAATGCCCGACCGGATTACAGAAATATATCCTCGTGATAATAGAATTGTATGAAAGGGTCTTGCAGTGCAGCCTCGCAATGTGATCACAGCTAGGTAATGCACTCCCTCACTAGAGCAGGATTGGCCACCATGGTGTCATACTTGGCTACTACCTCATACATGAACCCAGACAACACTCGACGACCTGAGGTTGTCCTGAGAACACCCTACCCTGTAAGAAAGGATGGGGTGTCGTGTGAGAAGAGCATTCTGAGAGTGACTCCATTGAAATATTTTTTTGAATTAGGGTTAACGGTGTCGGGAACGAAATCACCGTTTAGGCATAATTTCAAATATCAAAATTTATCTGAAAATTTTGAAAATATTCTTTCAAATTTCATTCACAGTTTTTCTCCCATTTCAACGTCCAACTCCCTTTCTAAGAACGTTTTAGGTATCATATGCGGCGAGTGTCAGATTGTTCATTGGCATGTTATCATTCTTTGTTTTCACCCAAATAGTAATGTAATGCTGGCTAAGAGGTAAAGGTTTTTGGGTCTTCTGTGATAATTCTTGCTCTCAAGAACAAAGCACATTTTCAAAAATAACTCTGGTAGTTATACTGTCAATGGTTTTTAAAATTAATTTCTTTGCGTATTGCAACCACTTTGAGCACCTACCTACCTACCTACCTACCTGCCTATCTACCTACCTACCTACCTACCTACCTACCTACCTGCCTGCCTGCCTGCCTGCCTGCCTGCCTGCCTGCCTGCCTGCCCGCCCGCCCGCCCGCCCGCCCGCCCGCCCACCCGCCCGCCCGCCCGTCTGTCCGTCCGTCCGTCCGTCCGTCTGTCGATCTATCTGTCTGTCTGTCCGTCTGTCGATCTATCTATCTGTCCGTCTGTCGATCTATCTATCCGTCCGTCGGTTTGTCCATCCCTCCGTCTGTCTATCTGCTTGTCTGTCTGTCTATCCGTCTATCTGTTCGTCTGTCCACCCGTTCGTCCGTCTATTTGTCGATCTATCTGTCCGTCTGTCTATCCGTCCGTCTTTCCGTCCGTCTGTCTATCTGTCCGTCCGTCTGTCTATCTGTCCGTCCGTCTGTCAATCTATTTGTCTGTCTGTCGATCTATCTGTCCGCCTGTCGATCTATCTGTCCGTCTGCCTATCCGTCTGTCTGTCTATCTGTCTATCCGTCTGTTCGTCCGTCCGTATGTCTATCGAATTGCCTACGTCTGGGTACCGCCACGATCACCCCCTTCACTTAGGTTAATCCAAAGTTCGTGTGGGCGGCTAAGATGGTTTGATGAATACGACTCGCTGGTCCTGACATGAATAATTTCACAATCCCGTCACGTCCACTATCAAACCCTTCTCGCTACATATTTTTTTAACGCGTGAGTGTTAAGCTGGTATTGGCAATGTTGACCCTATGAATGCAAATAATAAACATTTGTGTCCTAGCAGAGAAATCGAAGCCAAGCAATCTGCGTGGAAACCAAGTATTCTACTACAGAGCCACGCCAGGTGTTCGAAATAATTTGCAAGAGTCAAACGTCTGTGAAACGCCAATGCTGATTCCAGTGTTGACTATCAAATTTCTCAGATATATTCAGCGCCACTTCATATTGTTTCACTTAATAAAAAAATTACAACAGAGTCACCTTGCATAGCATTGATTCCCAAGTTACGTGGGATCTGCCTGTTTTTTTTTGTCTTTTTTTTTTGCGGGCAGTAGCGGATGGCGATATGTATGTCACAAAATAATCCTCACTTGGTATTGCAATGCGCCAGTACTGTGAAAGCAATCGAGTAGTTCTTATAAAGCATTATGTAAATAACACTCCGAAAATGCAAGAAAATAACAGTTGGCCTCGCGCGGCTCAGCCTCCTGAAAGCTTTGCAGCGCTTGCGGAGCACAAGGATTGAACACAAATGCACCCACTCACACAGCAGCGCACCCATCTCCTAGCCCGCGCTCAGCACACCAGGTAGTATATTTCTAGGCACTGTAACCCCACGAACTGAGCTATGGTGGCTAGAAAGAGAGGTGTCAGCATCGTCCCGGCCGCGCATTGAAAGGAGGCATGCTGGTATTTCATTTCATCGCGCAGCGGCGCGCAAATCGCCACCGTGATTGGTCGAGAGCGTTCGCCAGCCACTGGCACGGCACTTTTAGTCACTTGCTCGTGTGCTCGCAAGTTGCAACGTCTGTGCTTTGCCTATTTGGACTTGTTCGGGATCCATACATGCCAATGTGACCATGCCACAGTGATGGGTAAACAGCAAAAACACTGCTTTGCACCTGGATGCAATGCTGGATATTTCTCGGCCCGCAAGCAAGGGAAAAAAGTGTCTCTCTTCTCTGCTCCCTCTGACGATGAACGGCGCAAGGCCTGGGAGCGTGCGATTCCTCATGCTGACAAACCATTGGAAAAGAACTGCATTGTGTGCGAAGCTTATTTCGACTGAAGATTCATCATCCGTAGCTACAAGCATGTTATCAACGGGATCTTAGCAACTTGGGAAAAAGCTATACCCAAGGAGGGTGGGTTACGGAGTTTATCAACTGCCAAAGGACTTCGCGTCACTCTAACCAGCACCCTTTCCATCCGGCACTATGTCACAAAAATCTTGGGCAATAAATACTTGATTTATCTGCCAAGACGCGCTTGAAATCTTTTTGGAACTCTGAAGCAAATGTCTGGCTTGAATGATCACCCTTCGCCGGCACAATTTTTGATCTCTGTGAATTGACTAAGTTTTTACAGTTTGGCAGTCACCCTCAAGTGGAAACATACCTTCTGGAGTTCTGAGTGGCCTTCCATGGCCGGGCATCCACAATAATTCAATAAAATTGCAGAATGAGCTGCTAGATGTGGGGTGCCTCAATGAGGTTCATGAAATTATTGTTGCTTGTGAAGCCCTTCCTGACCTCACTGATCTCAGTGGACGCAAAAGTGACTCCCGGGTCACGTATTACGTCAGTGGCTATGTGGCCCGGAAGACGGTGAAAAAGACGAAGTGCAACGAATGTAGCAGGTTGTTGGTTCACTCTGATAATTCCAGCTTGCTTCCGGCAGAATCATGCCTTTTTTACCCGTCCGAGTCCTTAAGAGACCTGCTCAAAGCTATGGAAGATGCATTCACCTATTGCTTCAGTTTCAACAAGTTGAAAAGTGACAGCATAACAGACCTTATCTTTTGCCTGTCTGTGAAGAGGTTAAATATGGTCGGCTGTGAACACCGCAAACTGGAAGTAACAAATCAGATAATTAGGTTCTTTACACTGACCAGAATGCATTTTCTCGTTGCTGGAGAAAATGCGTCCAATCAAAAAAAAAAAAAAGAGAAAAATTAAGTTCTTGAAGTTGAGAAGTATGACTTAACTGTCATAGTGTTAACTCAGCGAACAAGGTTGTATTTTATGTTATTGTGCATTACTCACACTGTGTTGTTTCTTGTGATTTTACTATTTTCTTGTTCACATTGTTACAAATCTCCCATAAACAACTGTGATGTCACTGTCTGGCTGTGTTTCGCATATGCAGAAATCAATTTTTTCGTGAACTGGTTTGTGACTGTATCAATGTTTGCCAATCAAATCTCAATGTCATGTGTGTATATATGCCCATTGTATCATCGCATATTTACTGTTCCTTTTAGTTGCCTTATTCACTTGCTTTAGGTGAGTTTCGTATAATTTGCAGTTCTCTTCAACCTTAATGCATATGTTGTGTTTATTTTTCATGTTGTTTTTCGCTTTCGTGAAAATAAATGTCTTGCTTGTAAAATCAGACCTTGACTGCGCAAGTCATGAAAATAATGGTTGCCGATACCTTTACGTGCATTGAGACTTCACGGAGAACACTGCGGCATCAAAATGAAAACTGCACGGACTTTGTTTTGGTGTCAAGCTCACGGCAAGTTGCTTGATCTTCTATTCTAAGCTTCGTAGCTGATTTACTACGAAGTGAACTGAAAACACTAGTTTTCAGTGCCAATACACGTTGCAGCGCGCCACCAGAATATGCCAGGTAGACTTTGTTTTGCAACGAGAAACGACTGATACCCGCGTGCGGGCGTGAGGAGGGGCATTTTGAAAGCGACCGCAGTGCTGCCGCATCCGGATGAATTCTCGCTCGCTCTCCGGCGCACTGATGCTGACACTCTCTCCTAGCCACCATAACTACAGTGTACTAGAAGGGAGCAGTGGGCTCACTCTCCGGCGGAGGGTATGCAGAGGTACAGTGAACTAGAGCACTGTAGCAGAGGGGTGGCTCCAGAAATGTCACACGTTTGTGGTTCTCTGATCGCACGAGCGGCGGCGCTGGCATCGTCATCAATGGAAGAAGTTTGGGAGGGACGTTGCAGCTGAGCCGGTTGTAAGCCGGTCAAGTCCTGCAGAGCAACAGAGTTTGAGCCACGTTGTGTGGCTGTTGACATTGTTGCGCCTAGTTTTTGCCGTCAGCTTTGAGCGTTACTCACCACGCAAGATGACAGTATGCTTTACAGTGCATACTGTAACCATGCCGCGACAACGGCAAAACCACTGTTAGGCGCTTGGGTGTCTAACAGGCAACGTGTTCGTGAAGAGTAAGCA